GCACCGTGAAGACCTTCAGCCCATCACAAGGAAAAATCTCGCGAAGGAAATTTCGCATAACATCCCCTTCTCCTTGTAGGTGCCCGTCCAAGTGCAGCAAATCACGATATCTTGCCTTCTCCATTGAAGCCAAGTGGACTTCCTCCGCACCTGCCAGAAAATCCTCCTCGTCCTTTGCCATTTCCAGTTCCCAGGCAAACTGCATCATCCATAGTGGGCTGCCTCCCGTCTCTCCCTCAACTTCCTCATCAGCATTCAAGTGGTCTCCCTCAACAGCTGTTCGTGAAGTTGACGAATGAGAGCTTGATGTGGCTTCCCCCCTTTCAGAATCACTGGCACTATCCGTATGTGTTTCTGTACCACATGTCGTGCCTCCATCGTCCTGCCATACATGGGGTGGTATATCTCTGGCAGTCTCACGCAGCCTCAAATACGCTCCTTCATAGAGCTCGACCCGCATGTTCCATGTGTATGCCCTCTCAGCATCGAAAGGTCCCATAACCAGAACACAGTCGCTATCCCATACACAGCCATGATCTGGTATGACTGCATCAAAGATCTCCATCATGGTAGGCCATTGGCGCACATCAAAAATGTATGTAAAGGTACGGCTATTTCCCTCATCGCCCCGGTAGATCACCAAAGCTGGGAGAACATTTTCGCCTACAAAATTGGTCACGATGAATTGCGGTCCAGCTCTGCCTCCTTGCTCTGGCATTGGCCTGACAGGGTAGACATAGCAGGGTCCCCTCCCAAGGGCCCTCGACCAGATCCCCCGGACAAAGGGCCCACCAGGATAGCCAATCAGGAAAGTAGCCCATCTGACAAAAGTCGCCTTCTGTCCCATAAGAACCAGGGGATGATACCAGACTGCCACTTCGATAGCATCATATTGTAGTTCCAGATTCTCCATGTATCTTGTCACCAGGTCATGGGCAGGCAAGCCGACCTGCATCAGCGAGGTGTCCTCATCATTTCCCCCAAGCTTCCTATGCCGTGTAGACCTAATGTCAGGGTCTTGCATGAAGTCGACTGTGTCAGACTCCTGTCCATGTGGCAGATCCAGCTGGGCTTCTCTTCCTCCGTCAGAGACATCATGCCTATTGTCAAAATTTGCATCACTTGCCAGAATAAGGACTTGATGCTCACGTAGAGGATATTGCTGCGGCAGCTCCCATTCACATTGTTCATCCCTGATGTAAGTGCTGAGATGCACAAAGGAACCTGCCGGCAAACCAATACGTTCATATTTGACAAAAAACCTTTCCACATAGTCATCTCGATATGAAATCCGCACCTCATAAGGGGGTTGGCATCTCTCATCCAATTGCAGAAGGTCACAAATCATGATTGGAGTACAGGCAATAGGACATCGTACTGCCGTTTGAACAATGATGCCCTCAAGGTCATACTGTATCATCAGAGGGAGTCTATCAGATGCATAGGCTTCTGACTCCATCGCAATGGTAACCACATCATGCAGCCCTCTTTGAGGGTCAGCATGATGCATCATGGTGGGTTGCGGCGTCACCACCACAAAGAAGACCGTAAGTACATCATCATCTTCAAAATGCCCAATCAACTGTGTAGCCCAAAGGCCTCTTGGAAGCAGCTGAATACTGAAGGGAAGCCCAATCTCCTGGTCATAGCCCAAGAACTTCCATCCAAGCACCTTCTTCTGCCAAATCCCCTGCTCCGCAGAGCGGAAATATTCAAACGCAACGTCTCTCCCTTCCAGCATCCAGATTGGTGTAAACACTCTTCTGCTCAATTCCAAAGCATGCCGGATTGGGAGCCCTCGTTCACTAGCACGAGCAAAAGGAACACGCTGCTGCTCAATCGGAAAGCGTTGCATAAGTACTGTATAATCATTCGGTTCTTCCCAGGGAAAAGCTATACAACAACCATCCTTGTCAAAGGCATCTGGAGTTGCAGTGTTTTCTCCGGTTGTATAGTCGCCAGAATCAGGAGTAAAGTTCTTTGTCACCTTGTTCTCCCCAAAAATTGGCACAAAACTTTGCACAACACCGGGACAAAAAATGTCAATGGGTGTTGAATTGGCTCGACAGTCACCTGGAGCGTGGCAAGTTCCGTCGAGGCTCTGGAAACCTCTAGAAGCTCCGTGTTGTCCGTTGCTTCCCTCCAGAAGATGTTCCTCAAAGGAATCGCCACAACCTTCTGGTCGGCTAAGGTCGCCTTCATCAGCAAAGTCCTCATAAGGTCGGAAAGGACATCGCTCTTGAGTCATCTCATGACTATCACTAATGCCAAGGGCATTATTCTCACAGATACGATTGGCAACTCCAATCCCTTCGCAGCACAATAAGTTGCAAAGAAGGAGCCAAGCCACAAAACTTCTGCGAGTCTTTGGAATTCGCTTGCAATGTGGGACCCTACGGTCAGCTCGTGTCGCTCTCCCTGGATACTTGGTGGTCTGGTCAAGTCGCCAGCCCCACAGGCTAAGGAAGCCAAGAACAAAAAGGATGAGTTCCTGATACCTACAAAGCCTTATAAGCAAGTCAATTCCTAGGGCAGTTTCTCCTACCCCCCTTTCATACTTCACTTCAACATCGAACTCGAGAATCATGTAATTACATGCTATTCCTACCCATTGGCACACAAAAGCTTGGCAGATCTCGGCAAAAGGTGGGATTGGTCGAATCCTTCTGCCACGTGCATATCCTACTGCACACTGGCTGATATGCCCGAGCTCTTCAAGCACCAAGACGCACATAATCACAACGCAGATCCCGAGTAGATATACCCTGAAAAATTCAGGGAGGTCGAAAAAGGCCACAAATGGAAAACACAAGCTTCCAGCTACAAACCAGAAGATCGTAATGGCACAATCCCAGATCCTCTCCAGGAACCCCGGCTCGAAATCATTTCGATCCAGCAACTCAGATGATTCTCCTTGGCCAAACAAATGTAGCCCAGAATCACTCGCACGAACAAAAACGCTGATGCTGCAGCCTTGAAAATTGGCGCACCCATCAAAGCCATGACTGTCAGTGTTGGCCCCCACACTGACACATTCAAAGTCATACCCCATCCCAACACGTGGCATCAGGCCCGTGGGGCTCATAGCTTGTCGTCCAACATCTCTGGTACAGGAATCTCCGAGCCTGCCCCTTTCATTGCTGCTTCTCCAGGGGTCCTCTTGGCCACTTCCCCTTTCTTGGGCGCCTTCCTGCTGTTTGATGTCCCCCCAAATGGTAGCAGCGAATTTCGGGCCATCGTCACTGGCAATCCACTGGGTGAGTCCATCGAATCCAGAGATGCATGTCCACTGGCCTGCGTCATGACCTGCTGGACTAAGATCTCCACTGCCTCCTTCGTCGAATAGTTCTCCGGCTCCGCCTCGACAATGGTCAGCACATGCTTTCGATGCTCCTCCTTCAGACCCTCGAGAAGTCCTTTGAGAAAGGTCTCCAGGTTCTCGTCCTCCTTCACCACTTCGATTGAATTTCTCTTCACTGCCGGCGATCTGGATCGTTCTTCCCGTACTGGAGTTCGTTCCATATCCAGCCTTTGTCCTGGTGGTCGGACCAGCTGGGGGGAGGATTGATTGACCAGATCTGGCCTTTGCGAGGTGCGGATCACAGCCACCAAGCTCTGGACCTGATGGTTCATTTCCTGCACCATCTGTTGGTTCCTCTTCTCCATGACCTCGAAATAGGTCGCCATCTGATCCATTTGTGCTTTGACTTGTGAAAGGTCCTCTGCCAAAGCCTTTGCACCTTGCTCCCCGTCGCTTTCCGCCTCCATAGAATGTGTATCGGGGCCATCTTCCACATTCTTGAGCTCCTCTTTCAAGGCCTTCATCTCTTCCTCGTATCTCTTTTCTTCCAGCCTCAGTCCTTCCATAAAACCCGCTTTCCACTTTGCGAAGTTTTCCTCTTTCTCCTTGATGGTGCTCTCGAGTTTCTCGGCCCTGTTGATGCTTTTCTTCTCTTTGTTCAATTCCCTCTGTCTTTCTCGAAGACTTTCTCGAGGGTTGTGCACCAACTTCTTGCACTCTTCCACCAACTCTGTCGGGCTCTTCCCCACCTCCTTCCCAGCATCCTTGTCGAGGAGTAGCTTGAAGACATCCCGCAACTTCCGATTCTCCTCCAAGATCTGGGCATTGGCTGTAGCCGAGGAAGTAGATCCCGACGAGGATGACTGCCCATTGGGCACTGCCACCTTTCTGCCATCGTATCCCACGAAGAAGGCCTTGTCTTTCTCTTTGTCTTCCTTCTTCGCCTTTGGCTTTTCCTGCTGCTCTGAGGGCCATGTCTGCTTCCATGCCTGCGCCTTTGGATTCCAGTTTCTGTTCTGCTTCCATGTCATGCCGGATCTTTGCACGTCCACAGTGGGTACTTCCAATGCAGCGATGCGAAAGTGCGGCCTCGTATGATGCAGTGCCAGAAACCTTGTCAAACGCAAGATTTTATGCAGAGTCCTCCCTTTCAACCAGAGCTTCTTTCTATGCAAAGCCACAAAGGCCCTTGCTCGCGAGCGTCTAGCTCGCAGTCTCCGGTGCCAACCGGGACTACGCAAAGCTATGGCTGTCGCCGCGTAAAAATCGACTGGTCACCCAGTCTGGGGCTACAAGTCGCTCCGGGATTCCGGCTATCTCGAGCCCTCCATCCAATAACAGAAACACAAACATCCACAAGCATTCCAGTTGGACCCGATCTTGAAAGGTGTGAACCCTTCGAAAACCCGGCCCTTCCTAATGATCAATGACTCAGCATCGTGCTGCCGATGGAACGGAAAGACCGTGGCGGCTGTTCCCTCCGCCCCCGAGTTTCGGAGCGCAGAGAGCGCCCATCATCCCTGCGAGCTTCATCAGCTGGATGAAGCTGGTGAAGTTGGGATGCAAGTCTGGAGAACTGTCTAAGACATGTCTAAGTCTAGATTCTTAGGTTCGTCGGTTCGTCGGATTGCAAGACCAACGAAAACACATCGTTTCCAACTGCATGACTCTGCATGACCAATCCATGCGTTTCCATCAGGTTTGCTGTACATCTCCATCAGCTTCGGCCTCATCGAGGCCGCAGCACAGCGTCTCGGCCGGTCGGCGGACGGTGAGCCGGAGCGGAGATGGTTCCGTCCTTTTAAGGTAAATATATAACTATGTTATATAACATAGTGGATGGGGTCCTCAAATGGGTCCAGCGTCTGGCATTTCTGAGTATGTTGAATATCCATTGGTAGTGGAATTGGATTTTCCATGTTGAAATTCAGGTACTTGTATGGTCCACTTTTGCTCCATGCAGACATTGCAGGGTTGCAGTTGCATGGCTGGACCGGGTATGCAGGGTTTTCCAAGGTGTATAGTGTGATCATTGGAGGTTAATCATTTTTGTACATTGAAACAAACTCAGCACGCAGAGTGGACATGCAAGAGAAGCCAAGTGGGGTGAGCCGCTGTTTCTTTGCTGCTTTAAGGTATATCGCCAATGTGGCGCCCTTCATCGTTTTGGCAGGCGCAGATGGCGTTTCACATGGTGAAACAAAAGAGCCAACCAAAAGACAAGGTCAAAACAGGAAATGGGAATGATTCGTCGACTAGCCCTTCCTATAACCTGCCGCTGTTGTTCTTCACTACTTTCTCCACCCAGTTCACCCAACGGATGGCCGACTCATTCTCTCCGTGCTCCAGACGACCGGGCGCTCTCCGGGGCGTTCCGCTCGTGTCGGCGCGCCGAAACTTCGTCGCGCGTGGGCTCCGGGCTCCAACGTCTCTCGTCGCGCGGCACCCGCGCGAGACAAATACTTCCGTGGCTCCATGGACTTCGGCGCCATGATGGAGGCCGCTACCGTCCTGGGCGCCCTGCAGGGCGCCTTCACCACGCTGGTGACGCAGATGAGTGGCTGGGAGTGACGAAAGGAGTGTCCGGGTTTGGAGGTGAGGCGACTGGTGGACGGAAGTGCTAGACACCTGCAAGTAGGAATTAGAGTAGGAATCGAATCAGTAATCTCTTGTAAACAGGAAGCTAGATCAGACTGAGATTGCCAGATGTAAACCACAGTCGTTTTTTGGTGGAAATGGCTCCTTGCTTTGTCTCAGGCTCTATCACCAACATGGGAGCTCAAGCCATTCGTATCCAGCAACTTTGGGACATGCTTGTTGCTTGGCAAAGGCTTTCAGATGGAGACTGGAGGTTATTATCTAGCTTGTGTTAATGGGTGTGTCCCATGACCAGCAACAGTCGGAACAAAAGATATCACTGTTTTTGAGAAAGGCCTTTACTCACCATCATCATCCACAGGCAAAAGGATATACCCAATTGTTACGAAAGCCAGCCGATAGGCTAGGCTGAAGTTTTTGAAGAAACACAGTGATAAATTATAGGCTGTGGGGGGGTTTTGAACAGAGCCTGCTGGTGTTAATGTTTTTTAGTATGTGTGTTTGTTTGTGAGTTCGCCAAAGATGCAATAGGAACCTGTGGCATCACTCGCAAGCTTGTTGGGCCGCCTCGGTGGCACGAACTCGACGGTTTTTCGGAGCTAACTCGACCGATCGAGTGGACCTCTTTGTAGAGTCCAACATACGTTTTCGGGTTCAACATGACCGCCACTGGCCTCGTTTTGTGGCTTTCTCAGGTGTTGCACGGTCCGATTCAGGTGTTGAACATGCCGCGCCGTTCTTCATGGACATTTGTATTGGTTAGAATGGGTCAAACACCGGACAGCATGGGTCGACACCGAGTGCGTTGGGTCCACACCGCGGTGTTGAGGACGAGACCGACCTGGATGACACGGGGATCAACTCGGCGGTCTCGCAGGGCGTCACGAGCTCAGCGGCGGTGGGGCGAAACGCGGTGCGGACGAAGGCGGCATCGGTCCACCTGGTCCACCTGCGCAAATACAAGAGATGGGGCAAAGAAGCGATGATGTCGTTCCGGTGGAGATGTATTCCTTATTTTTGTGGGAGGCGGTGTATAGTCATGCTCCGCAGGGTTCAAGGGCAAACCGTTGTGCATGTTTGGGTGTTCATGACTGGGACTGAACTGGACCCATGGCCAAGTTACACTGAGAAAAGGGTCGTAGCAGCGTAGAAAGGTGCTGGGAGGTTCCAGAACATTGCTTCAATTTGCTGAAAAACACTTACTGGGAAGTCAGGTTTCCTAACCCTCCTCCAGGTTTGCCATATCGTTGGATTTTGTTGGAACTCTAAGTGATTATATTTTAGAGGTTGTCATGTTGAACAAGATCTGGTCCCACTGATCATCATCAGATTCAATGCCTATTAGGCACGAGGAGCAGGATAGGTCTCAAGACATGAACATCGAACCACCATGCTGGGATCTGTCAAGTTCGACCCGTTCTACCCGTTCTCCTCTTCCCTCCCTCCGATCGGCCTGCTGCTTCCGATCGTCAGAGATGCTGCTCGGCTCGGCCGACCTGGACGAGGTGCTGCTCGACCTGGACGAGTTGACCATCTATACTCCCAGAGGCTCGTGATCGACTCGTTTTTGGTGAGGTGAGCCAGCTCGGGGTGGGTCAGAGACCACGGAAATGTCCGTCATGTCGGAGACCAAAGAAAAACCTTCGCTGGAGGAGGGATCACCTGGAGATTTTTCCTCTATTCCTGAACAGTCTGGGGCAGCATGACACAAATCACCCCAAACCCACAGCTCTTGATTCCAATGTCGCTGCCCACCTCGCGATGTTTGTTTCAGAAGCCCAATCCTGGCAGTTTGTTGGAGAGAGTTTGTTGGAGGAGCTTCTGTTTCTTGGAGACCGTCCTTTCTCAGCAGGCCCACCTTTGCAGTTTGGATGAAGGGGGGAGAGTCCCAAATCTTTAGAGCCAATGCTGATGTGGATTGGAAGTGTCAGTTGGCATCAATCGGCCATAAGAATCGCGTGAAGGTGGCAGCCCTCCCAGGGAGAGCGGAGGATGGTTGAAAACATGATATTCCAACTAAACCAACCGTTCAATTGCACAAAACATGGAGTTTTGTTGTCGGAATAGACGGCATGCCTCTACAACACACGTACCCCACATCATAATCCAGTAACAATTAAGTGGGCAAAACTAGTTCTGGCTCACTCCACCTCATGTCATCCACCGCCCTCCCACCGGCAGCCCGTGCAGGTCCGAGGCCGTTGGTCGAGAAGGTCACCTTCAAACTGTTCAAAGGCCCTCGCGGGTCGGCGTCCCGGGTCGATGGGGGAGGATTGAGAGGATGGGGTGAAGGGGGGGGGTGGTTCTGTCTCGCACCCGGGCGCAGCCCGCGGAAAGAGGGTCGAAGGAGGGTGGAAGGAGGGTTGAAGGTAATGCATTCCACTGGTGCTTGGTTGGTTTGGCACGTGGATTTAGAGGATCAAAGGCTTGCGTGGTTGTTTGGGGGATGTGCAAGGAATTTGGGAGCTGATTTATTTGGTGTGGAGACCGTGGAGAACCGTTCTTGGCTGAACTTAGTTGCATTGTGGGCTCAATCCTCCTGATCAAGTACTGCTCGTTCCTCCCTGTTGAGGCCCGCGTCGCAGGGATGGATCTCAAAAAAAAGGCATACGTCCTGACAAAAAACCGACCAGTGAATAGACGTGGAAAACGAACCCCCCAGTGATATACCCCCAGAAAAGAACACCGGTGAAGCTTCTGAACATCTGTTCTGAGAGACGTTTCGACCTCTTTCGGCCGGTGAACTCATGACCTCTCCGCGAAACTCGCACGACGTGGACCGTGCAGGCGACTCGTTGCTGCTCTGTGGACCCAGTGGTGTGGCCTGGATGAGAAAGAGAGGAACCTTCATGCCGGAAAGGACATCAAAAGGGGGGTACTTATACAATCCTATGATCACACTACTGAGATCTACTACACCAACTAGTACAGTAGAGACTTTCATGAAATGGATATAGCCAATTGCTATAGGGTCTTGTCTTGCCCTGCTTATAGCTGATTCTCATGTTTGCAACATGTTTTTGCACGTCAGCGAGTCACCAGTCCGGGGTGCCCTTGAAGGTTTACATAAATTAGTGTTAAGATGAATTAAAGATGTGTTAATTGTATGAAAGTGGACACAGGAGACATATGTAGACAGTTAGGGCATTTTTGGAACGTGCGACGAGCTCATGCAACCCCTCACTGCAGTGGCCACTCCACTGCACTCCCCATCACCGCGGGACACCCACGTCGCGTGGTCCCCGAGGTGGGCAAGAGCTCGTTGCTGCGGGGCCTCGCGGGGCTTTGGCATCGAGGTCGCCTGGCGCAGATGGGATTCATGAAGAGGTGATCCCAAGAGCGTCCTCTTCTTCGTGCAAGCACTGATGGGCTTTGATATCGGTATGGTTCTTGTTCTTGAGCATGTTTGACGGCCCAAGTTAGTGGAGTTTCCGTGCTTGGTCATGCACATCTTGCTGCTTTAGACCTTCAAACCCACCAGCAGGTGAAAGGTATTGGCTGGGTTGTTGGTTGCTCCGAACATTCTCCGTCCATCCTGGTCAGTACTTGGTTTACAAGATCAAGTGAGAGCAGCTTGAATTGCGGACTTGGGGAAATGATGAGTATCCATTGATCGATTTGTTTTGGAGTTCCTCCCATCAGTTGTATACTTTTTGGTGCCTGGGTGTTTGCAGATCATCCCACACATGGTGTTCAAACTGCCATCTCTCCTCAAACTGTTGTTATCAGAATGAAACAAGAGATCATCACCGATTCACATGCATGATTCGGAAGTCCAGTGAGCTATTCCATCCCTGGGACAGACACCGAGGAAGTGGCACGATCCGTCGCTGCGCTCCACACGAGATGTTCTTCTTGCCGCAGGAGTGCACCGGTCGTACCCGTCGTTCCGGTCCCGGTCCACGGGGTTCCCCGGTGGGTGTGTTTTTTTTCGTGGAGTGGATGTATTTAGGTGGGGAAGTTCGTTTGCAACCTGTTGAGTTACATGTACTAGTATTGTGTATAGTGAAGTTAGCCCCTGAAGCTTCTTGTTCCTAGTAGCGTCCTTGCTCCTAGTAGTACGGCCAGGAGCCCCGTTCGTAGCGTGTTTGCTCCTAGTAGCGATGCCAGGAGCCCCGATCGTAGCTTCTTGTTCCTTGTAGCTCTTCTATGCTCTTCTATTGTCGACGTTGTGTATAGTGAAGTTACTCTAAGTTACTCTATAGTTTGAGTAAGTCTCGCTGACAGTTGACCTGCTGGGCACGAAGATAAAGTGTGTCACCCATCGGCGGCGGGGCGGCGAACAAGAAGTGTCGTTTCACGTTCTGCGTCCAAACTCACTGACCCAAGGCAGAACATCCAGTGTTCATGGTTCTCATGTCAGACTTCAGACAGTAAACACTCGCACTTACTCGTGTGGACAGTCTCCACTGATCTATCCTTCCATCCCTCACAACCAGGACGTGATGGGCTTGTAGATTCGTAGATAGACACAGCAAGGGTATTGCTGAGCTTGAGCTCTGCAAATGACATGCCATTCTCAAGTGACCATGGTCAGATTTTACTTCCAAAGAATCTATATTGTGGACAACCACCTTTGTCAATTGCAAACACTCCACTTTGTTGGATGTGTGCTTTTTCCTAGGGCTTCAGCTAAATCCTCAGAACAAGGTAGGTAGACCACCTCGTACGCCAAGGAGACGTACCTTTGTTTGGGCTCCTTGCGGGACAATGCCACCTACCCGAAGGCCTTGTGTACAGATCAGGGCAATCGCATATACACACATAGAACCCATTTGAACTTTGTTTTGAAGTTAATTATATATATATATGATTATATGTACGTATAAACTAATTCAATTTCAAACATTTCAGAGTCGCTGAAAAAAGCTGCATCCTTTCGCAGGTGGTTGGAGGTGGCCAGTGTTCTGGAGAACGGTGACTGGAGAACGGCGATCGCTGTTCACGCTTTTCACGCTCGCTTTTCACGCTCGCCCGGTCAGGCGCTGTCAGAGAGCCCCAAAGATGAGGAGATCATTCAAGCTTTGGAAGATGTGAACCTCGCCTACTTGCTGCCGCGCTATGGTTCGCGGCTTAGGATGCGATGGATTGTCGCTGAGGGTTGGTGGAATGTTCTTTGAGTGGCGAGGAGGAGCCAGAAGTGCTTTGGGGGAGCAAATACGAGCAAGTGATCGCCTCCAATAAGACCTCTCTCATCTCATCTACAGGGGAAAAAAGATGAAACAAGTATCAACATCCGAATCCCATCCAATCCCCAGCTCCAAACCTTGGCCGCATCCCTCCACCGCCCCACTCCGGCCTAACCCCGCATCCCGCGGCGGCAGCGCCTGCCGCGTCGCCCGCGTGCCGCGCGCCACGCACGGCCGGCGCGCAAGCCGCGTCGAGGCCTTGAGGCGCCGATCGACTTCGACAGCTGCCTGAGTGGCGGGGAACGTCAACGGCTGGGCTTCGCCCGGCTGCTGGTGGCCAAGCCGTGCCGTGGCCTTCAACGGTGACGGTTGGAGGACTCAGTGGAGACCCGGTAGACATGGCGAGGCCTTCAGTGGGTGAGAGGGGTTAGGAGGGTTCGCCTGGTGGGTTCGGTTTGGGTTTTAGGCTTCGGATGGGTCCATGGAGATCCATGGAGGAATGGAGATGAGAGAAGTAACGACACCATGGAACTGACACGTTCTTTTGTTGGGACTCTGCCCAGCCATGCCTCAAATTATGTACGCTTTGGATCTTGCAGAGTTGGATCTCTTGTTGTATCATGATCAGCATGGCAGCCTTGGCAGAGCAGTGCTGCACGTTGCGAAGAGATTTCCCCTTGTACTTTTGCAACTGAAAACAGCCTGTCAGTATGCCAACTGTATGTGTTCCACTATTTTACCATGGGACGATTGTCAACACCTTTGTGTTGATTTCTTCTATACTTGTAAGACTGTCTCTTTGAGACCAGACCAGTCTAAGACTCCTGCCCTGGACAGCCCGGCCCTATGTTGCCCTGTGTTGCGGACATCTCTCATGACATCGCATGACACCCCAGTTCACGACCACTCACTCTTCACCAAGAGAGGAGCCAGTTCCTACTGGGGTACCCAGTGAACTACTGGGACCATCCAGGTCCCGTCACATGGGGTACCCTTTCGCGATCCGAAAAGCCTCTATTGCTGACGTCGTGGCCACTGACTCTGGCCACTGACGTTCCAGGAAGTTCGCAGTTCTGGATGAAGCCACCAGTGCATTGGACAGCCAAAACCAGGAGGCGATGTACTGTAATCTTCAGAGGCCAGGGCTGAGCTGGCCGGGCTGGCGAGCGAGCTCGAGGGTCGCAGAGGGTCGGGGAATGTCTTGTTTTATTTTGAGAGGAAATAGGAGAATATCAGGGAACGGATGAAGATGAGGAGAATATGAGGCTCGCCTCTTTCCAGTTCTGGCATGGAAGAAATGAAAACGGGAAGACACAGTGGACACAGTGGACACGGAAGTTCCGAACTCCTTCTCTTTGGACCTTCACAGAGGCACAGTCATGCCTTCCCAAATCTTCCAAAGAAGTTGATTCTCAGAATGACCCTGTTTCGCAGACGTCAAACTGGCAGCGTTCGATCCTCAGATGCTCCAGGCATGTGGATGGCTACGTGTCCGTGGGCCATACAGCGTCACTGGAGGCCTTCCACACCATGAAGCTCTTGTTGGAAAGGAGAGGCTGGTGATGGCCGAGGTTGTGCGGATCTGGAGAAGCAAAAGCAGATCTGGAGACCGGATGCCTACCGTGAGTCCAGGGTTTCATAGGACCATCTTGTTCGAGGTGCCTGCTAATCCGCGCCAAGATCAGTGGATAAAGACTCCAACTAGACTACTAGACCTTTCTTTACCAATGCTGAGGCCCAGAAAGGTCCAATCGGTTTGGGAATGTCAACGGGCATAGACCAGACTCTTCATTTCTACCATGGTTGCACCTGAAGACGCTCGTATGCCCATGTTGTTCTTATTTTCTTCTTATTTTTTGGATCTTTCCAAGGAACCAGGCTGGGCCCGGCACTAGGTTTCCTCTACTAGGTCTAATTGTCGTTGATATTGCCAGGATGTTCAGCCTTGTTGCGTCTCCACATGTTTCCATGGTCTGGAGGACCTCGGCGCCCACTGCAACATGGCATTTGGAACTGTATAATCAACAGCGGCGATCGGCCGCGGGGGCGGGCCAAGCGCAGGCAGGACGGTGGTGATGCATCAAAGACATCGGAAGAGTCAACAAAAGACATAACGTCGACCCGGATTGGGAACCGAAAAGATGAACGATAAGACCGCAGTGTTTGATTGAAGGAAGGCTTTAGCAAAGCCAGATGTGGGCTGCTGATGCAGCTGTGAAACTGAGGTGTTTTGCAGTCTTTTCTTTTGTTATGATTGGAACATTTTGGAGCATCAAGAACAAAATTAAAGCTATGACGAACTATGTCATCATTATGTCAGCGATTGATTGGAATGTTCCAGCACATTTATGAACAGTTGCATAAGCCGTAGATTTTTTCAGTGCAACTTCAAGTTTGACAAGTTAACTTGCGTGTCTCCAATGAATGTGTTATGGATAGAACAGAATGAACAGAAACTTATGGAACACGGACTGACCCATCGAAACAAAGAATTCATCACCAGATGCATGTCTCAGTTGGTAAGTCACTGGTAGTCAGTGCCTTGTGAGGTTGCTTCGCGTGCGGCGAATGAAAGCGGCGCCTTGGAAAGGAACAGGGAGCTGTTTAGGCATCAAACTCTTTTCCTCGATTTGATTGTTCAGAAACCATGTGTGTATTTAACCAAAGAGTTCTTCGAAGGACTCTGAGCATTTGACACTTTGATAGATCTGATAAATATATATACAGAATATATAAGTGTAATATATATATATATACAGAGCACTTTCAAGCTGCTCGACGTTTGGTGTTTTGAGCAACTCGGAGTCCTTCCAAAATCAACATGTGGACAGGTAGGAAACCTAGTGCGGAGATGAGATGTGATTGCGGATGTTGAGAATCGTGAGAAGGTCAGAATGTGTGACTAAAATGCACTAGAACGATAGTCATGCAGGCTAGGAACACCAGCATGTCAAAAGCCTCCTACACTCGTGGTTAGGTAGCATTGTGGCACCAGATGCTCGTGGCCTCGCCCAGGTTCCGCTCCCAGCAGTGCGCAGGGCTTGTCAAAGGGTGCAGAGGGCGGCGCCGACTGGCCAGCCGACCAGCACCGCTTCGGGCGTCCTTCCAACGCCACGGCCATGTAGGTCACATGCTGCAGGCTGTCGCCGATGTGCTGGAGGAGACGACTATACTTTCCAATGATTTTGTTCGTGAGTTGTTACACTGATGAAGAGATCTGGAGAAGGTTTGCAATCTGGTTCACCCTCCCCTCCCCACTGGCACGAAAGATTGCGGTGGTTTTGGTAGCTGCTTTTGTTTGCCTTGATGATATTCTGGTACGACTTGGCACAAGCTACAAGTTTGATGAAACCAACTACTTTAACCTGAAGATGTTGTCAAGATTTGCCAGCAATGCTGCGCTACTCTATCACAAACAGACACGCATCAGAATAGAGCTCTAAAGAGCAGAGTTTCAGTGGAGATCGCGGTGTTGCATTAGCGATTTACCTCATTGGCCCTTCAATGTGGAAACAACGTATGAGACAGCGTCGATCACTACGTAGACTCACAAAGACAAAGGGTAAAGCAATTGCAGGCACGTGCAGCTGATCAGGCTGCATATCCTGAGGTCACCATAGAGAGTTTCGTTGGGCACAGCTCTATGGGCCTCCTGTGCTCCCCTTCTTGCTGAGACTGTACAGCGTGAATTGTTGCATGGTAGGGCAAAGAGAGGGGAGGAAAGAGTAGAGTCCCTGGATAATGGAGGTGACACACACACACACATGCTTCAGAATTGCGCTCCAGAGAGCAGAAGTTCAGTACTTCGCGGTGAGCATTAGCACTTTAGGGCTAGTTACTGCATTACCCGAGTAGAGCGCACTAGCCCTTTAATGCAGAAACGACGTATGAGACAGCGTTAAGCAATACTTAGAATCACAAGAATGAGTGAAACAGTGGTTAAAATGCAGGTACACACGGGTGATCAATCCGTGCTTCCCACTCCAAGGCATAGCTTCGTTGCACTGAGTTTACCAAGGAGTGCTCAGTGCCCGTGCTCCTGGCATTGAAGGCTGTACAAGTGTGTTTGTAACATTGTAGTGGTCGGAGAGTAGAATCCCAAGAAACGGGAGGTAGCACACACAACGAGTCGAGTCAGCGCAGCTAGTGGAAGGTAGATAATAAAAAGAACATGCTTGGACCAAGTAAGCACCTGTAATTGCTTGCGAGGGGTGGTCAAGAAGCGTAGCAGGGGCGCCGGATGCTGCTCTATTTTTTGTTCGCTGCGCTGCAAGACAAAGTCTCTCAGAGTGGTCTTTTGCCGTGTATAGTCGTGCCAATGCCTGTTCACCCTATAGCTGATGCCGGAAAGGGGTCCTTGCGGATGGAATGGGAGCGGGATTGAAGTCCGGACAAAAGTCGTCGTTGGCTGCCTGCTGAGTAGGCATCTCTGAGCTGCCAGGTGCATGTTGCGGGGTTGGTGCGAAAACCTAAGAGGTGATCGTGTTCCACGGGCTCTATTTCTACGGGATGGTGGCCGTAGAAATCTGGGTGCGACAGAGGATAAAATGTATCTGTTGTCAACGTATCTGGTGTTGAAAGAGAAAAGGGAGGGTTGTGTGAGAAAGGTGTGATAGGTTTCATGTCAAGTGATCAACGTGATCGCGACGTCGCAAAGTGCTGGTGAGAGTTGGCTGCCGACGCCCGCACCTTGAATTTGTTGGCAAGATGGCAAGATGTGTTGCAGGCCTGGCAAATGCACGTGTGAAAGGCCTGTTGAACAATGGTGGGCATGTGAGTGGTGTCAAGGGTGCGTTGCTGGCAGTGGTGTTTGTAATGACGGCCGATGTGAGATTGTTGAATGGGATTGCCGGTGGTATGAATGTCAATCGTGAGGGTGGTGGTGGTATGTTGGAGCTGCCTTTTTGTGCATCGACCAACCGGTGTTGGGGAACACTATTGAAGAACCCCACTAGATCATCATTGATGGCCGACAGTTGCAGGTCCTCTGGTGTGGTGCGAAGATGGTCATGGAGTTGTTGCCATAGGGTAGGGATGGATAGCTGACCGGGGAGCTGTGCAAGGTGTCGATGAGGCTTGAGTTTGTTGCAAGTCAATGACACCCACAAATTGCGCTTGAATGCAGAGTCAAGCAGAGAGTGCCGCTCCTAAAAGCAACAACGTGTTGGAGTGCTGTCGGGGGTCGCTTGAGCACACGAGCGAGTGATAGGCCATATCGTGTTGCATCTTCCTGTAGCTGTTCTTTTGTCACGTGCTCATCCTTGAGGACCTGCAAGATGCTGTTGAGTTTGGACCGTAGTGTTTTGTGAGCGGCTTCGCGGATGCGGCAACATGGGTGGGTGGACTGGAACGACCTGGTTAAAATGATTGCGGGTGAGAGAACTTCTCAGTGTTGGTGTGGAAGGAGTGGGCGAGAAATGGAATGGTGAGCGGTCAGTTGGTCTTGGGGATGGTGAGGTTGTTCTGGAGTGCTGTTGCAATGGATGCGGCTGCTTGCAAGTGTGCCAATAGGAGGCGGTGTGCAATGGGGATGTCCACTGGAGTAGTCATGGCGAGAGCTCAATGGCTGGGAGATTCGGATCTAGTTTGAACCGATCACTGTCGATGAGGCTTGGGCTTGTTACTTGACTAAGTCATTGACATCCACAAAGATCAAATAGCATCGTGAGTGCAACAATGTAATTCAAAAAGGACCGTGTATTCAACAACAATGAAATATGAAAGAAATCAGTGATACATAGTCCGAATTATGTGCATGATAAAAGCGGTTGTGTTTCAAACACATGCAAAGATCAAGGACTTTTTGTGGGCTCATGTTTCGATACTCAAGAAGGAAGTAATGTCTCGCGGTGCAGGGACAACTAATGTACAGAGTGCAAATGAATTAATACAAAAGAGCGCAGGCGAATCGCAGGAGCGCTGCTTGGCTCACGTAAGTTGGCCCATACTTTGCTGCCTTTGGGGATCTTTCCAAGAAACCAGGGGCCCGGCACTAGGTTTCCTCTACTAGGTCTAATTATCGTCGATATTTTGCCAGGATTTTCAGCCTTGTTGCTTCTCCACCTGTTTCCACCGTCTGGAGGACGTGGCCAACGACGATCCACCGCCGGGGCGGGCCGAGCGTAGGCGTGGAGTTCGGCCTGATGCCTCAGCTGCGAGCTGCGCAGTGCGAGCTGTGCAGTGGAGACGACGGGCGGGCACAGTTCTTGGTGAAGATGAGTGGAGCTGAGCTCGCGAAGAATGGATGAGAGGAGAGTCCAGACCAGAGAGTCAGATGGAGTTGATATGAGTTGATGAGATGGATTCCTCGTCTCCTCGATGGGGCGCTGAAGATATCCGTTGATGAGATGGATTGAAGAGACGAGATGGATGGCAACCTCCTCGGAATGGAGGTCCACACTCTGCAGGAGAATCTTCGGAGGTCCAACCACTGAGGCAACGAGGCTGACCGGAGATCACCGGAGGGCAAAAAGGTTTCGCCGATCCAGCGAGGGGCGGTGCGGGGTGAGCTACGAAGACTGATTTGTTCACATTTGTTCACCATGCAGCCAGATTCATCAACCACTTTTGCATATTTGTGTTGAGACGTAAACCTGGGTGTCAGGCGTCAGGCTTTGCTATATTGTGCAGTTGCATGTGTGGCAAAGTTTGGAGAATATATGTTGTGAAAATCAAGCGTCAAGATGTCGCATGTGGAACTTGGCAGCAGGACTCAGTCTGTCAAGTCCTGCTCACTGCTCACCTGATCGCCTTGCTTTGCTGATGGCACTCGGACTCCAATGACCCCTCGCCTGGAGTTCGCCCTTCCAGGAGCCGCAGGATTTGTCCTGGTATTTCCAGCAACAGAAGCAGTTCTTGGAGGATCTCAAGGCGCTTCCCCTGCGCCGCGCGTGGCTTAACCACGTTCCAAGAAGCGAACGTCGAGTCCGGTCGGCGCCGGGGTCGGCAGGTCGGCGTAGGTCGGCGTGGAATGAGTGGAACCAATCGATTTGAGCTAAGAGATAGTATATAGCAGTTCTCAAATATAGTAGAGCTTCATCACAGTCACACCTCAATTACATGGAATGGGCCCTGTCCTCCAACACGGACCCGGAGCGTATGCAACGAAGAATGCGTTCAACTCTCAACGCATGATCGGTAGGTTTTTGGTTCTCATGAGATGTTACATGGATTCTATGGGCGAACTGGACTTGATCGCCACCCTTTCTGACCACAAGCCACAACTGTCAAGCCACTTGTCAAGCACGAGTGTCACAGCTTGACTTTCAGACTGTCAGAGCTGTCCGTAGTCTGAAACCGACCACTGTTCGCTCTTGTCTCTATGATGGCAGGTCCAGACGGGTCTTTCGAAGACCGTCGATGTTTCTCGACGGGTTTCGTTTCTCGACGTCGCCGGGCGCGCTGGTCGAGCGAAGAACCGCATCGGGAGACCGCCAGGTGTGTGAAGATCGCCATGAAGCTTGGAACTCCAAGGTTGGGATGGACAGGTGGAGAATTGGTTGGTGGGTTGCTTGCTTGCTTGGTTGGCTGGTTGGTTGGTTTGAGGTCGTTTGAATTTGGGTCTTGTGAAGCCTGCGAATGCAGCCACCTGAACAAGAGAGATCCGGTACCCACTCAACATTGGGATCATGGACATGCTCAGAAGTGAGACATGGAGATTGAGAGTTGTGAGACATGGAGTTGGACGCAACAAGCGAAGCTGGAAGGACTCAAGGTGGACTCTCGGTGTGCGCAATTGCTACGCTGCTACATATATTGCTAGACTTCCAGGATAGGATCAATCATTCACGTGCTGGGGGAAGAACATGCAAAAGACATGATTCATGTGCGGTGAAAATGACCTTGCATAATGAAAGGGGTTCGTTACTGGGGGTCCCCTTCTTGCCAGTGGCTGAAATGTCGAAAGTCCATCTGTCGCAAATAATCTACTGTCCTAATTTGCCTGGTTGGGTGGCTACATGTGAGTGATGCGCAGGTGATCATGCAGGAGGAGGAGATCGAAAAGCTGAAGCAGCAGGCCTGGCTGGGCTGAAGCAGCTTGAGCCGAAGGGCCTGGTGGTTCACCCCTAAAGGATCCATGAAGCTACGAGTGGGCCCGACAATGGTGCCTACATCAACAGTCTGCTCTTTGCTCACCCCTCTTAGAAGGTGGATCGTTAAGGCACCGAACTTCGCATTCAAACTGGTTTGGGGATCTCCTCGGTTCCTCGTGCATTCAACCATCCGATGGCTGTGGGTGGCCATCAGTGTGTTCTTTTTTTAAATACAAAGCATACAATCGAAGCGTGCAACCGGGGGTGAGAAGCCAATGCAAGCCAGATCTCCTTGCCAGTCGTGGGGCCCCTTACGTACCTCCTACTTTTGGCAAACAAGTTGACATAATATGTTAAGATAACGTTCACTCACATGAGGAGTAATTTTGTTTCATCAGAATGTCAGAGAGGGTCCTTAGAGCTATGTCCCACCCATGCCAGGACCTTGGATACCTTGGATGGGTCAGCATGTACTTCTTTCAGAGGATTTACTCACACCGTACACCCTCCACATGCGGAAGGAAGTTTGAGCATGTTTGAGCCAATTTCACTTTTGGCGCTACCAATTCCTATACAGCTCTCATCTCTATATATTTTTGTTTGAAAGATACTTGCATGGTGTAGTCACCGGACTGGACTCCAAAATGACTTCAGAATGACGTCCTGGCTGCCGCTCAGTTGCGGACCTTGGGCGAGGAGCGCGATGGGCTTCGCAAGGACTCTCCCGCCGTCGTGCGTCCGCGGTTGACCTCGTGCAGAAGCCTTTAGAATCAGAGGTTGACTGCAGGGTTCTCGGGATTTAGATGTATATTTACATAGCAGACTTGGTAACTTGGTAGGCGACTTGTTATAATGACTTGCTACAATGAAGGGACTTGGTCAGGTCAATAGATTCTTTGGTAGGCGAGAGAAGGCCCACCTTCCGAGGACCTCAAAGAGGTCCTACGAGAGCGAGATGAATGGCAGGCGCGGGGAAGTGGGGTGGGGTGGCCGGAAGCGGGCTCCAGCAGTCTGTAGCCTGAAGTGCCGTTTTCCTGGAAAAGGAACATATACATAAACTCCCTGGAATCATCATGGAAGTGGAAAAGCACCTCTATTTTTTGGAGGAAGATGGTTATCCAAGGGGCAATTCTTCACTTCCATGATCATAGATAGAGAGAGAGAGGGAGATCCTTGTAGATTCTTGTAGATGGTCACTCTGAAGTCTTGTTTCTCTCAAACACATGTGAAGTCTCCGCCTGAGATGCTGACCGCATGAGACTTCGATTGGATTTCATTTTCGATCTGTAGGACTCACAAGGGTGTCGGGGATCCATCGCGATCCGATATCAATCCTGGGATCGGATCGACAAAGCAACCTGAGGAGTAGCGCTGATACAAAGATCCACAAAGCACTGATCCAAAGGGAAGGTGCTACTGAGGGTGTTTTTTGGCATGTTGAGGTGCTAGCTGCTGTGCTCTTGATTACTTTCCGTATAGGGCCTCCAAGGGATACCCTTGGAAACACACAAACAACAGCACCATATCCCTTCCGATCTTCGGATACACAGATCATTTGTCAACTCGGGTCAGCAAGAACATGCAAGGACTCTGCAGATCATCATTTGATCATCACTTTTTCGGAGCCCTTCTTGGACCCCCAGAGACCCTGACCCACACGACCGCCCCAGAGACCCCCCCCCCCCCGGAAAGATCGACCGGCACGACCGCCCCCAAGCTTCGCGCGCGCGCGGGGCGCCCAAAGCTCGAGGTCTCGGCCCTCCGGGTGATGTCCAAACGGGAGTTCCGCTCCAGTGCACCCTGGAGAGAGCTCGGTGGGATCCGCGGGACCTCGGTGGGTGAGACGCAGGTGAGACGGGAGGGCGAAGGGAGGGCGTTTGTTGGGCGTTTTGGAGGAGGTGCTGTGCTGCAGCACATGCTGCTGTGTTGCTGGAGCATGCTAGAGCTAGCTTGTTGTTCACAAACACAGATGACAGGTGGTGAATTCTGGTGGATGAGATATGATGAGCTGTTTTGGGGGGCAGTTCCAGGGCAGTTCCTGGTGTTCCATGGATGGTACCTTGCGGTACCTTCAGCATCCTTCGGGCGTTGAGCAGAGGTTGGTGCATGCATCCATGGATTAAGGAGCTGGGGAATCTGTTTAGTGGAGAACCTCTTGCGGCACTTGCGTGCGTATCATGGATTTTAAGAGAGAGAAGTAGGTGACAGTGAAAACGTATTAAAACCACTGCCTTTGCCTGGTGATGGGAACATCCGGCACGGCATCAGCCTGCACGACATATGTACCTTGTTTACAGTACCACATATACGACATTTCTGCAATGTAAGCTCAGGCATTTAGACGATTCTCCACAACAATCCACCAGTCGTCTCTGTGATTCCTCTCCCTTTTCGTGTCCCTCCACTCCAGTCGTCGGGTGGATGGAGGCCTCCATCTTCCGAGGTGGAGGCTTTGGAGGCGGCAAGGAGGAGGCCACAAGAGAGTGGAGAAATCGATGTCCTTTGAAGCACAGATTCATAGGTAAAACCGAGTCTAAACGAGTCTAACAACTTGGAATTCATAGGATGGATGGCAGGAAGAGCCAGGCCCAGATTGAACAGATTGCCCCAAAAGGGGCGATGCTGATGCATTGCATTCAAGTTGTGGAGTGAACTTTCCACCACTTGCCAGGCACAATCCAGCTCGCTAAACCCCAATAACCGCGCGCGCGAAGTCGTAAGTTGTAAGTCGTATTCGGGACGATTAGAGGATTAGGAGATGTCAGGCGTTGACCCTCCAAAACGCTATGGGTTCAGGTAGCTCTCAGCTCCAAATGCTCCAAATGCAAATCCTAAACCATCCTAAACCTAAACCCATCTAGAGCCGCACTACCGTTTCACCATGTTCGCCCTAGCCTATCCATTCGTTTCCCAACTCGTACCATGTCGTACTATACGTAGGGTGACCCCACGCCGGCGACATGACCGCACGTGGGTCTTGCCCATAGTGAAGCGACTTCATCAAACGTTTGGGTGACCAAAACCACCGAAAGCAGCTTAAAGACGTGATTAGACTCTTAGACTCAAAACCACCGGGTCCGACATGGCCAGGCGCAGTATCATAGCTTACATACCTTTATATATATACGGTGTGCAGAAACAGAAGACCATATAGAAGGTATAGAAGACCATGTAGAATGCAGCGGTTAGAACTTAGAACCATCAGATTGAACTATTTAAACATTTTTAAGCATCCCTTTCTCGAAATGCTGCCCTTTCTATGAGGGCTTTGGTGCACGACGACAGGCCTCTTCCCCCATGAGTCCATGAGCTGAAATGAGCTCGGGCAGCGAAGTATCCACTGTGCAGAGGGTCCATGTAGTTGGTGACGCATCACACTGTAAAAGCCAGAATTATATATAATATATAATGATGTGGTTGATGTTGATTTGTTTGATGAATACGGAAGAAGCAGCAATATTTGGATATATTTAATTTGGAATATTGGAGGTATAATTTACTTGACTGGTTTCTTGAAATTGCTGGCTTGCCATCAGATTCAACATGACTGCCCCCACTGTCCATCATCAACCTGACACCGTTTTCTCCACCGATATAGACCCCCAACTAGATAGAACAGTAAATCCCCGCATTCAGAATGTATTGGAAGCCATGCCACTATCTATTTGGGGACCACTATACAACGGTCCAGTGCATGTTGTGCAACTTAATTTGTGGCACCGTGGAGTCATCTCGTGACACATGCCACACCGTGCCGGACCAGACACGCTGGCCCGATTCCGCAGCCAATGTCATGAGAAAGAATATGATCAGAAGTCCGACGTCTTTTTTGCGAAGTAAGTCTGAGCTCTCAGGTCGTTTTCTTGAACAAACGTTGGTTAAAATGTTGCGGTCGTTTTGATGAAATCCGTGGGTCGTTGAAGACCCCACAGCCAACATTCCCAGCATTTGGGGAACACTTTTTGAAGCACTAAGTGACCAACACAAATCTTCCACAATGGTTTTGACATCAGAGTGGTGAATATTTCAGGCGTCTCAGATCCTTTGAACATTGAGACAATTGTTCAATCGTTTCATGTGTATTTGGCATTATCGGCTCGCACCACTCGCGGCTGACCACACCACACTGGGCAGTGGACGCGGCTCCCTCGCGTCGCTCCATGTATTAGAGCTCCTTGGCGGTGCAGAGGTCTTTCAGGATTGGGTCGGATCTGGAATGGGGGAATGGGGACCCAAATATAGTCTCATGGTGTTCCAATATAACTATGTGTTTTTTGTTTCAGGGGATTCTGACCTGGATGTACTTGTCTATCAGACCTGGAACACTACAATGTATAGGGCACGCAGCACGCATCTTTTGGTCAGAGCGGTTCCTGACATCCGATGGGAGCTGAAGGGCGTTCTGTCGTCAAGATCAGACACGGGGACCCATGTCAGACCATAGGCCTCCAAGTATCATCCTCACGGACAGAAGTCATTCAGCAAGTCATGTCCATAGCATACATGATCATACATGTATGTCCAATTTCTGACAGGCACCTTCTGACTCAGAATGCAATTTAGCACTCCAAATCACATCAACACTGATATTTATCGATCCATTTTGCATCCAGGGTGCAAACCAGTTTTGCAACCTCTATGCCTTGATGTTACCACGCTTGGATCATCTTGGATCTGTACCTTGCCACCGTACCAGGTGGACCAAACTCCTGACCGCTTCACCTGAATGTTTCGTCTTCTCACCATCTACAAACTGATCTTGTGAGACCCTCCCGGCACGGGTTCCCAATGTCTGGGGAGACCCCTTCCCGGAACGCGAGTCACGAACCACCCCCCTCCAAGGATAACGTAACTACTGCTCGCGCGAGCCCGCGCACCACGGTGCGAGGTGTCCCTTGGTTGGTGTGTGTGTGGGGGGCAACGGGAAGGGACGAAAGTGCCTTGGAAAAGGGCTGAGTAGCTGGGAAAAAGATATGAATATTTCAGCTGTGTTCTTTTTCCTGAAGTCAACAACGAAATCGGCATTTCCCTCCCAAGGTTGTAACTTCAAATTGATCTTGGAGATTGGATGAGATTGCTGTATACCTCTTACATCTATTGCGCTGTAGGTGCAGGTGCATCAGTCCCAACCAACAAGTGGAACGTTTCGTCGCTTGATGGTCCCACAGCTCCACAAGTCGGCAGCCAATGCCTGGTTCTGGTTGACAGCGCGTACGCGCGTGGAGCTTCCCGGCCACAGCGCCGCCCAAGATCGTTGGATGGGGACCGTTGCTGCGGTGCTGGGGCAGTCCTTCTCATCCATAACCCCGTTGGCAACCATAACCCCATGCGAGCGAAAAGACCACGTGGTTCTCATGCGCAGTCCGGTCGGCGTGACAGGGGAGCGTTCCCCCGCGATGTTTGCGAACCGTTTATGGCAGGTGCGACTGGGCAAGGGCCGGTTCAGGTGATCGCATGCTTGCGGCGCCAAGATGCGATTTTGTGCTCTTCAGTAGTCATAGAGGCCAAGGAATGGCAAAGTTGGGGGTTTTATCTCTTCTAGAAAACTGTTGGCCAAGGACGGAATGAAGGTTCCACACTTGAATGATTTTCTGGCATACATTCCTGTCAGTCTTGTCAGAGACCCTTTATATATATTGAGCATCGTTTCCCATCATTTCACCACTGAAGACTAAGGTTCAGGCCTCTCCTTTCAGAGACTCTTCCAAACCACCAAGAGACTCATCGTAAGGAATGACGAACCAAACTGCAACGTTCCCAGTAGCAGCAGCAATCCCTGCCACATTGCATCCATGTCAAGAAGTCCTGCCATTGAGTTCAATGACACATGGGCACTGGGTCTTCAAATGCGTGAACTGTGCAAGGACTCCTAGCCCAAACCACCCAAACCAAAAGGGACAACATAGCTCACATGAACCATTACCATTACCAGTTAGTGGAAGTCCTTCTCCTACCCTACGGCAGCATTTAAACTTTAAACAAAAACACACATGCAGACAGTCTACCCACACGCCACGTCTTCCAGTGCTTCCTTGGCTGACCTTCGATCCTGAAACATGTCCCCACCAACCCCCCAACAGCCCAAAGCTGTTCTCACCGGGTGTTCATTCAATTTGGCCCTGACAACGCTACTTTCAGCCCTTTCAGCCCTGCAGGTGCAGCGTTGTCTTCATGGCTCCTCTGACAGCCTTCGCCGGATTGCCTTCCCGGCAGCCTTGGTGAGCCTCGGGGGAGTGCTGGTCTTGTACAAGCACTGGCAGGAGAACAGCAGGGTTCTTCAGCACTGGGTGGGCTTGGAAGAATCAGCTGGGTTGGAAGAACCATGGAGTCTAGGTTTGCAACTTCATCTTCAATCGCATGGTGCATTCAACTCATCTTCAAGGCAAATCCCAAATCTGAGATGTTGTGAACTATGGGGTTGAGGGCAAGTGCCATTAGATTCCACTGGTCCATCCATCTCCGAAAGACCACAACTAGGCAATTGGTTTGTATGACATCCATCTCCACGGGTCAACCAAACCACGTGTCGTGACATCCCCCTTAATGTGGGATTTGTGAATCCCGAGTCCAGAGTCCTGTAATTTCGTCACATAGCAGATCTTGCAGTTTGGAAGATGATGTTGACGGGGCATGACGGGACCAGTCTGTGGATATTCTTCATTGAAGTGATTGTACTTCCCAATTACAATCATCTCGTTGCAGGATAAGTGAGGCCATCAAAAAAGAAACACCAAGACAAACTCTTGAGTCAGTCTTCCCAAGTTATCGTTTAATATGGAGTGTGGAATTTGCCTCCCGGCCCCTAATCTCAGACATGTTAAATACCAGGAGCCTCACTGACAGGTCTTTAGTTGAGGGTTTTAACAGGGTTCCTAACAGGTCTCATTGTTTTGAGGGTTGCTGTGAAGTCGGGTGCCTGCTGCAAGTAGGGTCCCACATCCTGTGCCGGTGAGAGAGTGTGTCCTGTTTCTTCTCTCCCACTCCCGGTCCCTCCATCGCGAGGATCCGAAGGGCGATCCGACCAAGACCTTCCTGGCCTTGACGCCCGGCAGCGCGCCAGCGCGGTGTCAGAGAATGGACTCTGGTGGTTGGCATGAGCGATCTGTACATGGGATTGGCGTAAAGATTCGGACATGGGATTGGCGTATACCCGGCCGTTCAGAGCTCTCGGGAGGTTCTGAGATGCAAGTGCAGCTGCTAGTACGAGGGGAATGTGCTATGCCGTTCAATGCATGTGACTGAAATTATATTAACACCATGATCAACACATGAAACATGATGTAAATCTATGTATATAAATCTCTCATCATCAGATTCCACTCTTTTCTACCGGATTTGGACGATGGCAGTCTAAGGATCGTCGTCCAGATGCTACCGCTGGTCTTCCTGGAAAAGTAACTCGCCTTAAACCGAAAACCAACTGAATTGTTGTTCCTTTTGATCGTTGCTCACCCATTTGGGTTCGACCTTTGCAGCGTAGACAACCTTCCACTCACTACGCGTCTCGGGTATCAAAGCGACGGTCGGCGCGCCACCGATGCGCCGACAGGGCAATCGATGTGACGGGTCAGAAGCAGCAGCTGTAAGTCGAAGACTGTGAGCTACAATCGATGTCACATCACCAGGTTGGGATTACAACCATCCAGTATCAACAAGGAGTCACGTTCGACGGGGGTGGTGTTTAGTCCCCAAGTGAGTGGATGTGACAGGAGCACCCCTAAGAAAATTGTAAAAGGGGGGGTTCTGGGAAGTTTTTGTTCATCAACCACCTCGTTGAATTTGTTTGGCTCTTAAAATTGTTTGTTGAGCCTTTGTCGTTATTCTCTATGGGGTTTCTGGGGAAAATTTGGTGCTAAAAATAACTATCTTTGCTATAATTCAACGAGGTGGCTGATTGTTGTTGCTGTTCTGTTTTGTTTTCCCTTTCGTGAAGAGTTTGATTAACTCCTTGTTCTTTCTAACGACCCGTTCGTTGTCCGCCCAGTCGTCTATGATGATACAGATGTTATAGAAATGTTTGTATTCCTTCTCCTTCATATACTTTACTATTCCTGTGTGTCTATGATGTTCTTAAACTTAAGGTTTTTCTCCTCAAAGTTGTCAAAGTAGATGGGGTCTTCGTCGGTGTGTTTAATATCCATCTCGCTTTCCATGTATTTCTTTACAACCGTCCAAGTGTCATCTATAAAGACGGTGGGTGAAAATATGTATATTTTTTCGAAACAGCTTTTGTAGATGTCCATTATCAAATTTGTCAGCGCTACTGTCTTACCCGTTCCCGATGGAGCGTTCAACAGTATTCTCGCTGGAAGCGGCGCCATGTATCCATACTTTGATTGCTTACTGCTGTATTCCTTGTGCTTATAGGGTTTGATACTAATCATTGAAAGATATTAAAACTATTTAGAAAATAACGTGTCTATATATATTCTTATTGAAGGAAACCATTTAGGGACAGTTCGCTTCAATCCGCATAAGCCGTTAATTAGTTTGATTTCTGCCTCTAATTTTCAGATTTGGAAAACCCCCGATTACAGCCGTGTGAATTCAGTCTGCCAAGCATCTTTTTAGTGCCCACCCCAGCGCTAATTAGACAACATTATGCATCAATCATATTGTCTATAATTATATCTACAATGAAATATATAGATGCCTCGGCAAAAAAGAATATGAAGAAAACACCCATACCTGAAGACTTTGAACGGTCCGATGAAGAACCGACAATGATAAAACTGGATGAAGAACAGAAACTGAAGAGTAAGTTTATCACCTTTGACTGTCCTTTGTGCCACGGAAAACTTAAATTACAAAACACAATAGAAATAAAGCCCAAAGGGATAAAGTGTAGTTGTAATCCGTGTTCTTTCAAAACATCAAAGAGCGAAAAGACTATGAACGTCAGCAGGGATGACAACGGAGACATCAAATTAGACAGTGAAGCACACAGCATCTCATTCAGTTGGAACAGACAAATGACACCAGAAGACACAGAATAAGGAAAGCACCAATCGGATTGCTGATGTGATGAGTTCAACGCCAAGAAGTGAGAAACAACGATCATCTATACAAGAGATGGACTATTAAAAAGTTCTAAAGAGTAGATTTTGACGGGAAAGAGTTGATAAATAAATATCTAAATAAATAAATGTATATATATGTATACATTATATGAGTGATATGGACGAAAACACCGATAAACTGGCGGAACTGACAAACAAACTGAACAGACGTAAGAAGAACATAAAAAGCATAATGGAGACTTTAAAGACCATTGAGGAGAAACTCACTGAACCTAAAAAGGAGGAGAAGAAGGATGACGCCTCGCCAGAGGCTCGTGTGCTTCGCGACAAGGAAAGGATGGATATAATCTTTGAAAAGAAGCAAATAGCAAGACCCGTTGGTTCGTGGGATGAGAAGAGAAAACAGTACTTGGAATGGATTAACAAAGGAAAAATCACTCAACCTAAAGAGCAGACGCTTGAATACTACCAAATCTTTAAGGATGAAAAAGAGGGGAAGTATGTTTTAGTATGATACGTGCATATTAAAAGTCTATAAAATTTTAATATGAAACTATTGGAACTCTTCAGTGGAACAGGCAGTGTTGGTAGAGTTGCTCGTGATTTCGGTTTTAGTGTTGCATTGTTAGATTTGAAGAAGGCTAACATCAATGAACATACATTACACTGGAACTACACGAAGTGGGAAAAAGACTTTGATATAACTTGGGCATCACCTCCTTGCACGGAATATAGCAGAGCAAAAACTACGGGAGTTAGAAATATAGATTATGCGAACAGCATTGTTAAGAAAACTATTGAAATCATAGACTATTTTCAACCAAGAATATGTTTCATAGAACATCCTCAAACAGGACTTTTGAAGGAACAGGACTTTATGAAAGTTTTTGATTGCTATGATGTTGATTATTGTCAGTATGGTTTTGAATATAGGAAGCGAACGAGGATATCGACTAACCTAAAGAGTTGGAAACCCAGACCCTTATGTAAAAAAGATTGTAATAGCATTGTAGGAAACAGACACAAAGAGACCGCACAGAGACTACCGTGTAAAGGCAGATGGGAGGAACAAAGGAAGAAAACACAGGATGAACTACACAGAATACCCGAATAGCTAATTTATGATATAATATCAAACCTTTAAAATCTCGTGGCGAAGGAAGGGTTTAGTCGTATAAAAATCTTTCATTGGAAAGAGCCTGTTTTCTAAATTTAAAAAAAGTCAAAAAAAAGTCAATCCCAAAAGTCAAAGTCAAAAAAAAGTCAAATCAGCAAATTTCAAAGTCAAAAAAAAATCAATTTGCCCAGATCCGACTTTTTTTTGACTTTTTGTTGACTTTGTTTTTGACTGTTTTTTGCTTTTTTTTGACTTTTTTGACTTTTTTGTGACTTTTCAATTTGATTTTTGTTTGACTTTTTTGTGACTTTTCAATTTGATTTTTTTTTGACTTTTTTTGTTTTTTTTTACTCTGTTTTTCGACTTCTTTTAGACTTTTTTTTACTTTTTCGAGCTGTGGCCTACGGTTGACTTTTTTTTGACTTTTCTTGACTCCAGTAATCCGCCAAGGCGAGGAGCCACAGTTTTGACTTTTTTTCGACATTTTTTGACATTTTTTTGACTTTGTTTTTGACTTTTTCGAGCTGTGGTCTATGGTTGACTTTTTTTTGATGTTTTTTTTTGACTTTCAATTTGATTTTTTTTTGACTTTGACTTTTCCAGTTGACTTTTTTTTGACTATTTTTTTAAATCACGGATTCTGGCCTTACCATATGAAAGTTTTTTTTAAGTTTAGTCAACCCTTCCAGTTTGAAGGTTCTGTTTCCCGTCGTGTCGTATTCCATCTTCCTGACTTTGTAGTTTTCTTTAGACCCTGGTCGTCTCTTTCCTGTCGGTGTAGTTGCTTCTTCCCTTGGTGAAGATTTTGACCGTGTCGTTCTCATCTCAACATACTTCCTCGTGTTCTTTTTTCTTCTTGTCAGATTTACCCTTACATCCATGTGATTCTTGTCGTTGTGCGCTTCGTTGGGTGGGAGTTTTGTGGATGAGTGTTTGCTACTGTTATACTTCTTCAACACGTGTGGAAGCATACTGTACTTGTCCATCCTGCTTTATTAGACCTCACCCTGTCATAAACCATATTCTTTAAGGTTCTGATGAAGCGTTCAACGACGTTGGCGTGTGTTAGCGTGATTATGTGATTGATGCCTTCAGCGTCAAAGAACTCTTTAACAACGCTCCTCAAAGCACCGTCGTCATCGGAATATATTGACATACAATAACCCATCTTCTTAAAAGTCTCTTTCAATGCTTTCAATACACTCACCCAATCTTTGTTTCTCATTGGAAGGGCATTCCCGAATTTACTGAAAATATCAATGACAACTAATGCATACCTTTGTTCATCATTTTTCAGTGGAATTTTTGCTTCAGGTTCTTTGGTTAAAGGCACCATGTCCATTATATCCATTTGGTATTTGAATCGGGCAAACGGAGCAGTGTAGGAATTATACCCTCTATACTTTCTAATCTGTTTGTTCGGTTGTTTTGCCATAAATTGTTTTACATCTACTGTATTGATTGATGGGTCTTTCTATTTTTGCTTTCTTAAGTGTTTCCTGAACAGACCCGAAACCTTCCTTGACATAATATACATTACTTATAGTATCATTTGTTGTTAATCGTTTTGCCATATTATACTTCTAGAAAAAAACAGTTTAAAGAATAAATACATAAGATAAATAAGGATGAATAGGTATGAAAACGGTAAAATTTACAAAATCACTGACATTGGATACAACAAGTGTTATATTGGAAGCACTTGCGAATGTTTATGTCAAAGAATGGCAGGGCATAGGGAAAAGTATACGTATTATTTGAAAACAGGAAAGAACCATACACATGTTGTTTTTTCTGTTTGATGAATTCGGCATTGACAATTGTAAGATTGAACTGATTGAAAACTACCCTGCTGAAAGTAAAGCAATGCTTCAAAAACAAGAAGGACACTACATCAAGAATACTTACTGTGTTAATAAGAAGGTTGAGGGAAGAACACGTAAAGAATACCAAGAAGACAACATTACAAACACCAAACTTAAATCAATGAGAAACGACGAGAACAATACAATGAAAGCAAATACCAAGTAAATGACAGGAGAAGAGAACTATATATCAACAGCAAAGATGAGTCAAGCGAAATAGAAAAGAACATATTGAATGTGAATGTGGTTCAGTGACAAGAAAGGCAGATATGAGCAAGCACCTGAAAACCAAAAACCACCATGACCACACCATAACTACAACCCATAAAACTTTACAACCTATAACCACAGCATAGTTACAACCCATAAACCCAGACCTAGAAATAAAACACAACAGCAGCAACAATCATCCACCGCATCTTAAAACCATTTGCCCCAGAAAAGTTAGAACCCAAAAAACCCAGAACCCCCCACACATAAAACATCAACAGCAAGGAAAACACATTGAACAGCAACAAAAACACATAACAAGCAACACACCAACAAATCCTCCCCAGAACCCCCCTTTTACCATTTTCCCTAACCTCCATGCATCGCACCCCCAACCTCCATGACTGCTGGAATGTATCAATTCTCATGGATTTTCGACCAGGTGCAGTGGCCAACATGCGAATGTTTGGCACGGCCGTGGTGTTCAGATCCTCCATGTTAGCTATAGCTCGGAACCGTGTCCAGCTTGTCAAGACTCAACGGACTCCGACTCAGTCTTGGTTCTCCGCCCGAAGGAAGGGCCCCACGGGCGTGTTCAGGTGTTCTCCAAACTCGCAACGGACACAGGCATAGAGATTAGAGATCAAATCACGTGTCGGCGTATTCCAAATATCCAAACCCCAATATGCTAAATATCACGTTCTCCAATCCAAACATCACCGTGATCCTCAGGCAGATCTTGTCCTGCCCCGACCCCGTGAGCATGCTCTCCCGCTTCGGCAGCAAGGCAGAGCCAGCTTGGGCGGACACGGCGGAGCGTTGTTCGTGAGGTTTGTTCCTCTTGTTTTGCCTGGCTACGAACCCACGAAGCGCTCTAAAAAAAGTGCTTGAGCCGTTTTCAGCTAAGGACCGAAGCTAGGTTCAACTGCTCCATCAAAGTATTGATAAGTATTGTGCCTTTGAAAGTCGATGTTTGGAGAGTCGAAGCGAACTCAAACTGTGAAAGCCATGCTACGAACGATCCTGCCATGTTTGTGTCTCTGATCAAACGTGAGGTTGTCAGTGATAAGTGCTCATGATGCACCGCCCAAGATCGCGTTCTTGACCGATTGTTCTCAAGCTTTCGTCCCGGCACTCTGTGGCCTGTCTCATCGACACTCAGCCACTTAGCGGCAAGGCAAGTGAACAGCTTTGGAGAAGGTCGAACGCAAGTAGGTACGTGTCATCAGTACCATCGCTTTGGTACAAGCTCCTTCCAAACAGGCACCCGGCAAGGTGAAGCATCGCATGCCGCACTCTCCACCTATTTGTTCGTGGTCCATGCAGCTACAAATCGGTGTCTTTCGAACACGTGTCAGGGTGAAAAGATGTCGCATTTATCATGGCAACCCAAATCCTTTGAGTGAGTTGTGGAGGAACATCAACTTTCACGGTGTGAAATGATGTGAACGTTTTTACTGTATATAATATGTTTTTAACGCATTAAAGTCTTGAAACTTCCCCCTCAACTGCCGAAACTCCCGAAACTTGGTGGGTCACGAGGTCTTGAGTTCAACCCGGTCGACGGGTAGGATGATCGTCCCCAAAAGATACAACCTGTGCTTCTATGCTTTTGTAAAAGTGTAACACCATGTAAATTAGCAACAGGTTGTTGATTAAGAACACATCAGAAAACGTGTTCTTAAGAGCTTGTTTTTAAGAGCACGTTTGACACAAAAACCACCAGCACCTTCCAACAGGTCTCCGAAATGGAGGCTTTTGTAGACTTCAAAGGTCGCAGGAGTGATGACCTGTTGGAAGGTCCTGGAAGAGAAACACGTGCTCTTGGCATTTTCGCCACTGCTTCCGGGGGGTCCCCGCGGCCGAAGCACGGCGGTTTCGTGCTTCGCTGAGGCAGGGTGGAGCCCGGCTCTCGCCATGGCTCGAGTGCCCTTTATCGTGGGGACTTGGAAGGGCAGCTGTTCTGTAAGAAGTTCTGGAGTTAGTTTTTTTGTTAAATCAATGTTTGTTGTTTGTGTTTGTGTTTGTTTCATGTTTTTTGTTGTTTTCTTTTTGTCATATGTTTGTTGGGTTTGGGGGATCGTATATAGGTTGTTTTAATGCTTTTTAGATCGAATCATCAAATTGTTTGGTTTGGAGCCTTGGGCTTTTGAGTCCTTCAGTTGGGCAACAGAGCGTTAAATGATGTTATATATATATATTGTAACATTATATTATATTATGATGATTTACTTGCACAAACAAGATTCAAGATGAGATTCACAAAGCGGTGTCCCCAAGTGAGTAGATAATGGGCGCCTCTAACCTCCCCTTTGTGACTGCTGCTATGTATGCATATATAATATACATACATCAGATATCATATCAGAGATTTAGCTAGGAACTGATGACATCACACACACACATGTTCAAAGCCTAACGCAACATTGATATTGATTTTGGGAGCACATCGGAGTAGTTTTAGGGTTGCGGGTTTGGTCCCATGGGATGCTGAGGTAAGGGCAAGGTCCTTCCACGAGGAGTGGAGTATTTGGAATCTTCGACCTTTCTCCTTTTGAAGTGGGGGCCTCGGACATGTCGGGGAGCGTCACGCAGGGTTGTTCTAAGAATCCCTCTCGGGTGACGATCTGCTGACGTGCCGGGACAGCAAGCTATGCGGGTCGCTGCCAATGGTGGATCGATCAACAAGGTCACAAAGTTCTAGGGCAAGTTGTAGGGCAGTAGTTTGTATACGTATTTAGGCAGGATTTGTGTTATCTAGATATCGAACATTGTAGTTAAAATTTTCCACATGTCAGATGATCAAAATTCAGCATCAAAACTTCTCAAAAAGTGCACTGCCACAGCCTCCCCAACCCCTCCTTTTTGCGCCAAATCTTGCGATATAACACAAGACTCACACACCCGGCCACACGTGCGCGGAACACGCGGTATGTTCCACCGCATGTTTCGTCCCAGGACGGAGCCGGCGACGGTGATCAACTGGCAGCAGTTCACCAAGAACGCCGAGACACAGAAGCCCATGCATGCCGAGAACGGGCCTCCCGGTCGTCACCGGACATGGGACCACGGCGAGTGGAGGTTCCGATGGACGTGGCGGAGGAGCAGGCTGGAGCTTGCTGGTCGCGACATGAAACCTGTAAAGTGATGGGTTTCCAGGAGTCACAAGACGGGGTACCGAACTTGGAGGATAGGGGTGCCCGGAACATCCACTCACTGGATGGGACCAAAAAAGCACTCTTTTGTGACTCTTGGTTGGTTTTTCAATGTTAAAGAAAGGGGCTGGCTCTATACGTTTTATCAGTTTTGGAAGGTGAACAAGATGACGGACTTGGACACTTTCTGATGATATGTCAGATTGGTTGTGTCTTTGTGGATTAGAATCGCCTCATGACCTGGGTGTTCTTTTCAGGGCCGGGGGCACCCGCAGCTTTGACTTAGAAGATGCTACCAAGGTCTTTGGGATTATGGATTTGAGATGGTTTGAGTTTCCATGAGTTTCCACAAACTTCACAAGCAGGCCATGACGAATGCATATGGGTCAAAACCTGCCATCACAGATCATGAAATGCATGATGTTGGTTGCTGTGAAGATGGCTGTCCATCCATGTCAGTGGTGCCAGGAGCCCTAGCCAGCCATGTCGGTTAACAGCTGAGGGGTTGGGGTTGGGGGGTTGGGGCGAGTTCTGAATGTGCCCAGACACTTGCAACTCCAAGTGGTCTTCAGGAAGGTGTGAATTCAACATGTCAAGTGATTTACTCGTGAGTAGAACGAGAACGGGCACCCAAGGTATCGGTATCGCCGGCTAAACAGCGGTGTGCTTTGCAACACTTCATCAAGCCGCACGGACCATGAGGTTCCTCAAGATTCTGCCAATGCCCGAAGAGGGCGACGTGAGCCATGGCATGCAGTGGCACTGTGTTGCCGAAGGGGGGCAGGTGCATCAGCAAACGAACGGTGCATCAGCAACGAAACCATTATTAATAACGATATCTTTTAAGAGAGAACCCCACAGACATAGGTGTTTTTTGCATGTTTTTTCCCCGTCAGATGCTTGAGAGTGGCTGAAACTGCTTTTATACCGTGGCTTTTTACCATGGAGCAGCACACCAGCTGCACCGGCTGGATCAGCGGGTGCCAGGGAGCCGGCGTAAAGAATGCACGTGATACTGGATATACCCCCTAAAGAATCCAGGTACCCTCTGAGAAGGTGTTTGGGATGGGTTTGGAGGGTCCAAGTACCTTTTGAAGAGGTACTTGGATCCCTAGGCGTGACTTTTCTTAGCAGGGGCGCTGGGAGGGCAACAGCTCCCACAGTACCACAGATCATCAAAAAGAACCAATCCAGACCCCATGGTGGTCCAATTCTACCGGTACACTTGCGCAGCTTCATGGTTTGCGAGCAAAGCAAGCAAGCAAGCAAGCCTTTTTGAAGGATGTTAAGTTTTGTTGCCTTTCTATTTTAATTTATGATTTCTAAAGTGTTTTTGAACAATTTTGTCTCATCTTCGTTTTCTTTGTCGCCGTTTTCATCTTCCGTTTCGTGATTTTGTCTCACAGTGCCGTTACTTGCAGTTTGAGGAGATGGACTACTAAAAGTGATCTTGTGTGATGACATTCACTGGATGCTTTCTTATCTTGTTTTTTTCAACTAGTATATGCCTATTGTAAAAGCAATCTTGCAATGCGCCTGTTTGTCAGGCCCTGTCACTGGCGCTGCTATTTTTATCCCTTTTGTAAGACATTAAAGTCAGTCAAAAGATTGGCAATCAGCTTGATCATTAAATGTAATTTCCGAAGCCCCATGTGTCCATCGCCTCCAGCTTCGTTCAGCTTGTGGCAACTGCCTTGATTGAGCCATGGCGACAAAGAGTTCCGAGCTGAAGGCAGCCTGGTACCAGCACCGATCTGGTCAGCTGTCAGACAGCTGTCAAGGGTACCGTATCGGACACCTTCGGTAGACTAGATCGATCGGATGATCGGAGGGTGAGCAGTGGATGAGTCAGTAGATGCCTCTTTCAAATAATCCCAAGAAACGGTGTCGCTCGGTGTTCTTTACAGTTCTTGGTGTCCTGGATGACGGACCAGATGCTGTGAAGGTCATCATCATCGTGGATATGCCCACCAGCAGGGTCTAGAGTCTAGACGCAGAATTTCTACGTGCTTCTCTTTTTCTGCTATGCTCTACCCCTCCAGAGTCAAAGGATGTGAAAGGACATGGCCGTGGACTTGACCACATTCTACATTTTAGAGCCCAGACTTGGCGTTTGCTCACCACCACTCACAACCTCTTCTGTCGTCCACGCTGAGCTCACAAAAGTGTGAACGGGAACAATTCTCGTGACAAATCCATTCCTCCAACCGCCCCACTTGCCACTTCGAGGGCCACATACCGCGCTTCAAACTCGCTCAACCCCACCACCCGATCAGCCGGGCGAGCCGCCAGGATCAGTGTGCTCAGAACGCACGGAGCTTCGCCGACCAGGCGAAACGGTCCGAGAAACGGCCCGCGGAGACCGTGGGGAGGCGGAGTGTACAGTGTCCAGTGTAGGCTGTTGTGGAAATCATATGGAAATGGAGTAGCGTTGAGTGTTTTTTGAACATAATATGTACGGTACAACTGTGGTAAATACTGGTCACACCTAGTCATTAGAGGATAAAGTGTTTGAACACCCTTCATGGTGTTGGAACATCATGGCATGAAAGAGAAGGGCCGTGGCTGCGTTGTTTGCGGCTCTTCGTGTGGTGGCAGTAGCTACAAGCTCACGAAGGACGAGTCACCTGGC